TAGGCTGAACTAAAATCTCAAAAAACAAAGCACAAGAAAAGGAGCCAAAGGAGGAAGGGGTCTAGACTCTAGTGCTTCCCTTTCTAGTGGAAACCTCCACAACCATTTCCCCAACAACGCCATGTTTCTTTTCCTAATATTCCCAAACCCAAGCCCCCTACCTTCTTGCTTCTAGTTACCACCTCCCAACTCACCCTATGGTCTTTCTTCTCCACTCCTGGTTCCCACAAAAAATCCTTCATTAATTTTTCCACCTATTAAAGACCTTTTTGGGAATCTTAAACACTGACAGGAAGTAAACAGGAAGGTTAGCTAGGGTAGACCTAATCAGAGTGATTCTCCCCCCTAAAGAGAAAAAATTTGGACCACTTCTCAATTTGAGCGTTTCATTCTTACGCAAGGGCCATGCTAATCTTCTCTGTATCGTTCCAATTTTATCGGATGTCTCCGAAGAGACTTTTTAAATTTATAACTTAAATGTTAGTAGCGGCTAGATGGTTAAGGCATTGTTTGTTAGCATAAATGACTAGGGTTCACATCTCGTTTTTTTTTTTTATCAATAACATCAATTTCATTAAATTAAGAGAATAGAGGGAAAGGAATACAAAGGAAGATAAAATAACTTAGCTCCCCAAAAATCAGAAAACTCAGGGAAAGCAAAGAAAATTAAAAACTAGCCCAGGAAACAGCCTCCCTATTCACTCCTTGCTTGGCCAACCCATCCGCAAATGAGTTGGCACTCCTCTTCACCCAGTTGTACTGAATCTCTATGTCCCTANGTTGGCACTCCTCTTCACCCAGTTGTACTGAATCTCTATGTCCCTACCCAGCCATAAGAATTGTTTTTTCTCATTGTTAAAGTTCCACAAACCACTGTCCTCTGTCTTCAACCAATTAAGCACCACCTTCGAGTCACCTTCCAGAATCAAACGGCTAATATTTAGATCTTTTGCTCTTCGAATTCCTTCAAGCGCTACAAGGATCTCAGCCCTAAGAGATCTCATTATTAAAGTTCACATCTCGTTACTTGTGGTTTGATGTTTTGGTGCTAACACATAAAATTATGAGATCTCAGGTTCAAGTCTTTTGACTTGCATTTTAAAATATATGTGCATTTAGTGAAGTAGGCTGGTCATTAAAACCAGTTGGACCATTGAAACCCTGTTGGTTTCTAACAGTTCCACCGGGTTTTGACTGGTTCTTCTGGTTTTTCAGAAAAATGAAAACCAAGGGTTTAGAAAACTGGATTCCCTTCCAGTTTTAAAACATTTTAAATGCTTTTAAGGAAGTTAAAATCTGAAAAAAGCAGTTTTTTCTCCTGGTGGAATCTTTCCACTTTACTGGGAAACTTGAACAAAATCAAACTTTATTGGGAAACTTGGAACTACCAAGCATCAATCTAGTTTTTTCACAGAACCAGTAATTGTACTCAAATAAATCCAAGAGACAATAGAATATCTGAGATTATAGTTTCTGATTGATAACATATCCAATTTTATTAACTTTGAATTAAAGAATGAACTACAAGTAAATATATTTGTAAACACATATTTACTTGTAGGTACTGAGTCATTTTCTATAGGTACTGAGTCAATAAAATTGTAGTTCATTCTTTAATTCAAAGCTAATAAAGAATGAGTGTTACCCAGGGTCACCTCCAATCACTGTCCTATCCAAATAGGTACTGAGTCATTTTCTATAGGACCCAAACCTTTTAGATTCGAAAATATGTGGCTCACCCATCCAGATTTTGTGAAAAAAGTGAAGGAATGGTGGGGTGA